CGTTTCATACAAATATATTTTACTTTGCATTTTTAAAACGTTTTCATTTGTATTTTTAAAACGTTTTTATATGAAAACGGAACCTAAAACGTTGCATAATTTTCTCTGTGTATTTTAAGTTAGTTGTCGCTTTAAACGATTATAACTGTTTTAAACAATTTTTGAGTCCATTTCAGAATGTTTTGTTGCTATTACATTTTTTATTATTATTTAATTCGATTTAAATTTTAATCCGTTTTTAATGCAACTTAAAAAACTTGAAGTCACTAATATCTATTATCTAAACTTTTTAATATGTAGAAATAATATACTTTATTAAATATTTTTAATAAAAGACATATCTGTAAACCGACTAATAACACATTTGTCCATATCGCATTCGAGTAAAAAAGTTGGAAGTAAAAAAAGGAAAAGACTATATAATTCCGAATCGATTTGATGCGATCTGTTTAATTTTTTTTACAGTTATCGTTTTAAAAAATTAATTTGAATGAGATTACATATTTGTAATTTTAAATTAGTTAAATGTATACTTGGCCCTTAAGAAGAAGTACGGAATATTAATGTAAATAAATAAAAGTTCAAATCGATTAAGAATTATATGTGCTTTGCTAAAATTTTGGGAGTTTTTCAATTGATAACACAATTTTTCGTGTTTAACTCTTTACGTCTTTTTTTAAAGACGTTTTTAATACCAATCAAATTTTTCTTTTCAAAGTTGGTCTTGATCGTGATTAAAAAAACCCCATAAAAACCTATAAAATCCTTTTACCGAAACCCTGGGTAATTTTCTGCTTTGTAGTTGGGTTATTAACTTGACTTGTGCTGGGGAATTAATTAAGTTTCTCTATTCAGGAGCTGGAATTACATGCCACATAGAATGTATCTGTGTGGCACATAAAAGGAGGTTTGTGTGTGGGTCCCCATCGAAAATGCTAAGAGCAGCAAAAGATTTTGAGCCCCGAAATTTGGTAAAGCTCCGCAAATAACGTCGACGTCGAAAAGGGAAGTTGAGCTGAAGTGGGCGAGGGGGGCGATAAAACCGCAGTCGGAGCCGCTGGAAAAAGAATGTAGGAAAGCGAAAAAGAACAAGATGAAGTCTCCGGGCAAAGCGGTTGCTTAGCCAATCAGCGAGCGGCGGGGGCGGAGTCTATCCAGAACTGGTTTGCCGGCGCTTTTTATGTTGATTTCGTGTTTTTCCTCTTTTTTGGTATCTCGTATTCTTTGGCGTTTTTCGCCTGCGTTTACGCTTTGCTCATCTCTCTTTGCTCTAATTTTTTCGATGGGTTATCTCGCTCTGGCACGAATCCATGGGAGCGACAGAGAAAGAGCGTGCCTCGTGTGTGTGTGAGAGTGTTGCCGAATGAGCGAGCGAGAGAGGGAGAGCACGCTGAAGAGGGAGAAAGGGAGAGCTTGCGCATTGGGGAAGTGGGGAAAAAAGAATTTCGGGATAATACATTCAGATCAAATAAATATTATTTTTTTACAGAAAAATGTATGAATTTTTAAATTTTTGTTTGTGTTATTTAATATATTTAATGAGATATAATTTTAAAATAGTTAAAGAAGAAATTATACCTTTATTCGTTTGTATTATCCCAAATATGGATATACGAGATCCTATACTTGATAGCAAAACCCACTGTAACTCCACCCTATTTCAATATTTTCCTTTGGTGCAGTGGTTCCCCTACGAGTGCTGTATATAGAAATCCTATTTACCATCTACTTGGACGCGGTTGGCTAAATCCTGGAGCCCGGACACCTAATCACATGTAATGCGCGCGCATTATCTGCGCTCTTATCTCTTGTTTTCCGGGGGAACCACCCGCCCGTCCGTCGAAATCCACTTCGTGCTGTGGAGCTCACGAACCCAAAACGAAGGCCGTCGCCATTCACGGAGGTGCTAAATGCCGAGTGGGTGTAGCCCACCCCCTTGGCCACCCAACACCCTCCGTTCACCGCCCCCCACCCACCGAGAGGAATAAGCACTGCCGATTTACTCTTTCATCCCGAATACCCGAACCTATTGCCGCACTGCTCGCACCCACACTGCCTTAGCTCACGCCCACGCCCACTCTACACGGTGTAGGGATGACTGGCTGTGTGTGTGTGGCATAATTCCACCCGAATTTGCAGCAAATCCATTGAGTTTCGCCACAGCGCACAAAAAATAAAAGAAAACGCGCAGCCGAACGAGGAAGTGTTGGGCGGAGGGGTGTGGCTGTCGTGGGGATGGGGCTTTCGGGGGGGTTGGGCGAAGGCAGCGGCGACGACAAGTGCAATTCTGCGCCGGAACAGGTTTACCCACTGTTCCGGTGAGTGTGTGCGTGTGGAAGAGTCTCTCTCTGACTCTGACTCTCCTCCAAAACGCTACGCTCTTTTCTCTCTCTGCCCCTGTGCGTGTGCTTTGTTTTGGTCACTCACAAACGCACACACGCAGAGCGGCTTGATTGTCTCACTCACCAGAAAGGAATTTGGGAGTATTTCTACTACCTTTCGGAGATACTACTACTACCACTGAGGTATATTTCTGGATAAATAAATTCCATTCAAATAAAACGTAGAAAAATCTTTTAAATAAGTTTTATCTGAAAATAGCGTTCAAATATGTGAAAGGATTGTGGGGTATGGGGTGAAAAATGAAAGGAAATTGGGTGTTCAACCAAATTTGAATCCCTCAAACTGAAATGCTTAAATTTAATTATTTTCTCATAACTGTATAACAAATGGTCCGGCTTTAATATTTTTTGTACGTTTCGATAGGCTTTAGGTTAGATTAGAAGTCCTAACTTTGGACGGCTGTAGGACTACAGTCTGGCACTCTTAAGCCTCTGTGGGTCCATTGTGGTACCCTATGATCTAATTTCCTTTGGGTACCCTATCTTAGATGTTTCAACTTAGATATTGGTTGGTCAGTCGATAGGTATTTATAAACACAACAAAATTGGATTTATACTTTTCCCAAAATCTTTAAAACTGTGCGCGACAGACACATTTTAATGTCGTTTAAGGCAATTTAACAGGTAATTGTTTAAGGTTAGAGTGTAGCCCTCGGCTGAAAGGAACCTGCACCGCATATGAACCCCTAGAATCTCTGTGGTGAATGCCAACTTTCTAGATACTAACATTTTGGAGATCTAAGCGTTCATACAGACGGACAGACAGTTAGAAGATTATGACTAGAACGAATAGCCTGATCCTGATAAAGAATATACATATTCATAGGGTCGAAAACGCTTCAATGTACTTGTAACTTGCAATGCATAAATCTCAACAAATGTGGATTTTTTTAAGCTTTCTTATCTTTTAGTTGCTTTGCAGTTAGTCACCTGATACTAATTTAACGATCGTATATAACTCTGCACCAGCGTTTTCATAGCTACACTCAAAAAAAATTTTAGAAAATCGCCTATGGATTTGCTTTACTGGCGATTTTTTTCTATATTTCTGGAATATTTCTTGAATTTAATGAATTTTGATTAATTGGAAGAAAATTTTCTTTACCAGTAGAAAATTTTTTTTTTTTTTAAAAAAAAAATCGCCAGTGAAGCAAATCCATAGGCGATTTTCTAAAATTCAGGGCGATTCATTTTCTGAGTGTAAGTTGTATTCGAAAATGCATCCTTTCAATTTTCATTTGAGGTCCAAAAACCCGAAAAGCGAACAACCGTTTAAACTTTTAAATGATTTTATTACAAGATACTAGAAATCGAAAACTAAAAAAAAGGAAAACAATGGCAATGGCAACAGATTTGTTGCATCCCGTCCCTGACAAGAAGTGGTTTTTTATTTTGTAAGCCAAAAACATGAACGCTTAGTTTCATTGGCTAAATAGAATAAAGCTGTTGTGAATGCTCCCTTTTTGACCAATATGTCGCCAATACTAGCAAAAAAGGCAACAAAAATTGATTTTGCGTCAGTTTGAATGAAAATTTTCAAACAATAAACTTTTAGTTGCGTGTCGAAACGAAAAAAATGGAAATGCATCCTGTCATAGTCCATTGGAACTGTAAGGAATTCACTAAGCCCAAAAAACGAAAAAATACCTGTATGCAATGCGTAAAACACATGTTTCTACAGAATAAATGTTTATTTTTGAACAACAGTTTAAACTTTTAAATGATTTTTAGTTAGGGGCTGTTCATATATTTTGTATTCACAATTTTGGTGATTTTTGACCCCCTACAACACATTTGTTTTCGACTGATAATAATAAACAATAAGCATCCTTTGTTCACGATTCGGTTTGCTAAATGGCTTGATTTTTAATACATTCATAATGCCATTTTTATTGAATGATAAGATTGTCAGCCTTTATGCAAATCTACTACCTTTACAGAGTCTACTACTATTTGGGGCACTCTCCCGGCACTCACACATTGAAACCCCAAGCCAAAAGAGAGAGCGCTCTTTGGCTCTCCGGTCGCTCTGACTCACACCAGTGCACACGGAAAGGCGGCAAATGGAGCCGCGTTGAGAGAGCCGCCTGGGGGTTGCGGTGGGCTGGGGGAGGGGAGAACGAGACCGAAGACCGAATGCCAAACACCGAGCACCGAACACCGGCACCGGCAACATCGACTGCGACGCCGGCAGCGGCGGCGGCAGAGCCAGCGGCGAATGTGCGAAGGCGAAAGAATGCCAGTTGCGGCAGTTGTGCGACAACTTTGGCCAAGAGAGGATGTCTTGACGCGCGTCCGCTCACCAATACCCACAGCGATACCTTGCGAAGAGAGTCCCGTGCAGAGAGCCAGATCAGTCCAGAGTTCAAAGCCAAAGGACTCGGCTAAGAAGACGCATTTGCCCAAGGGAAAGGAACGTCAGAACGCCAGAACGTGAACGCTTCGCTGGATTTGCGATTGCCGCACCGCCAAATTCGATACGCTGCCAATCCTGGTGACGCAGCAACGCGATCAGCTCCCGATTTCATGGCACTAATGATGTCGCGTCGCCCACAACAACAACAACTGGAACAGCAACAACAAGAACAACAGCAACAGCAACAAGAACTGCAGCATCCGCATCCACTAGCGTCATCGAATCCGTTCCAAAAGGAAACGCGCGTTTCCACCTGAGCGTGTGTGCGGTTGCGCGTGTGTGTGTGCCTGTGTCTAATTTGCGTATCCGCGTCACAAAAAAATAATAATAAAAAATTCAAATCAAATCAAAGAATATATACCCCAATCGAATTTGAAATCGAGCTCCCCTTATCGCGTTTACAAATTGCAATCAAGCGAAATCGCAGCGAACCATCCAAATTGCAATTAATGCCCGAAAGCGCATCTGCATCTGGGCCATAAAAGAAATACGTGAACAGTAGAGTCAGTGATTAGAACTTTGAATCGCCAGCGAGATGGACTTCCAGAGCGCCATGGAGACCTTTGCCGAGGCCTGGGTGGCAGCCAATGCCGGCCAGCAGGTGAGTTTCCAAAATCTCTACGGAGATACACCCCCAGATTTCATCATCCCCGGCGAGATCGCTTTGCCGGCGGCACTTCACACCTATTAGTCAGATCTCTCGACTTTCCCTCGCTTTTTCCCCCGTAACTCCCAAAATGAATCAGTTGAAAGCAAACAAAATCGGCCGGGCGACATATGGCCAAGCCAAAGTGATAACGCCCGTGTAGATATGCGCTCGTTTCGCTATTTATGCAGATTAAGATAATCCTTATCGGCTGAGATTTTCGAGATCGGTGCTGCGATAAGCCCCCAGCCCATTTGTTTATCTTTTTGCGCTGCGTTCTTCGTTTTGTTTGGCCACTAATTGCATTGTAAAGCCGATCCCCAAAGCCCCAGGCGAAAATGTGGGCTGAGTTCGGGGCCCCGAGTTCTCCGAGAGAGCTTTTGCCAGCCAGATAAGATAATCCCGACGGTAACTTTGACAAATGCTGGTAATTTCGGCATAAGGCGATGACGAACTTAGATATCGAATGGGGTTTACGGGTGGGGATATTACCGGCGAGTAGGGGTATGTAAGCACCCCCACCCCCTCTCTGGGCTTTGCCATCGCGTCATCATTGTGCGCTGCTTTTTTTTTATCGGACTCGAGCGCCCCTGTCACTGATATCGCAATTAATCCAAATAAGTGCGATAAAATTGATTATGAACATGCTGGCGTGATTAGTCCAACTCAACTCCCTTCCCACCCAAAAGCGATCCGCGAAAACAGAAAAAGGGGGGATCACTCATACACATGTCCGGAGATATCTGGGTGTGTGTGCGTGTGCGGTTTATTGGCAGACATAATTGATTATGTTGTGTGAGTGTAATTATTATTTATCTGGCTCTGCGGTCTGACTTCTGCCTTTGCTGCTTTGCTGCCTTCGCTGCTCAGCCCATTGATATCGCTTTGAAATCGCTTACCCAAACACCCGAAACGGGGGGTGACTAATCCAAGAATTTATGGATTTTATTTCCATTCGATTTCGAAAACATCTCCATGTTGTATATTAACCAAATCTCAATCTCGCCCAGACCCACCGCCATTGTCTTTAAGCTGAAATCATGCCACAAGAATTATTGTACTGGCCGAATCGAAAAGCAATCGAAAACAAGCACATACCCTTGCCATAGGGAATAGGTTCGGTTCCAATCACGAACTCAGGCCTTCCCTGAGGAGGATTGAGATTACTATATGGAGGAACTGAAATCCATCTTAACGGATCCTCAGGGATTTGCTTTTTCAAATGGGTCCACGCGTTGTGCCAATTGGGATTGCTGTTTGTTCTTTCTTTTCGCCTGATTCCATTTTCGATAAACTATTTTTTGTTAATTACTTATGACGAAGGTTTTATAAATTTTCTGTGATGATGTAATTATATTTTTAAAAATTTTAATTTCATTAGGCTAGAGCTAGAGCATTCGAAACTTCGGCTTGGCTGCGATTCGTTTCATCTTTTTTTTTTGTGTTGTTTCTTTTTAATTTTTTTTGACAGTTTTATGTGTCGACGCATATGCTTAGTGAATGGGATTAAGATAAGACGGCGTAAGTTGGCCGGGTCCTCTGCTGGCTGGGCTAGATAATAAACCAGTATGGCCAGAATGGGTATAAATAAATGTGAATTCTTTCAAAACTATAACAAATCATTTTCAATAGCAAAACTGCTCATGAGTGTGTGTGCGAGACTTTTTTGGGCTTGCAAACTAATTATAAAGCATTTAGCTTTATTGTTGTGATAATTTTTTGGGTTTTTTCTTAGGGACAAAATATCGGAATCGAACGCGGGGAAATAGATAATGCCGAGCGGTTAGATCACCTGGCGTAGCCCCCTTCGGGTAGTCAGATAGGCCGTCTTATAAATTATAAATGGTTCGATTTTGTCTAATCTGAAAGTGTTACGGGGGCCGGGGAGCTGGGCGGAGGCATTAGGAGTCAGATAATGGAATATTTATTAATTGAAATCTTCTTCGCCGCCGCTTCCTGCTCACCGTGTCGTGATCATCGAATAGTCATTTCCTCTGGCTCGTTTTCCCCTGCGATCTGTGATCTGCGCCCAAGACTAATGATAATCGGGGTTAATCTGGCCGCGCATCGAATCGGGGTTCCAATCAAATGCATTCTTCGCCCATTCTTTGGGCCTGCTACCGCTTCTCCTTCCCACGTTTTCGGTTTCGTTAAATTCCGGTAGTCAAATGTCCATTAAATGCCGCTCATAAATGTCCAAACTGTTTGTCATCTTTGTGGCTCCGTTGTTGTCGTGGCCGCCGCCTCCTGACTTCTGGCTTTCTTTTCTTCCTTGGCTCGAACACTACTGCCACTACCATTCTTCGGGCGGTGGCTGTCCGTATTTATCAGAGCTTAGGCATGTTCCCCTCCCGGACAGCCCCCAATATTTCCTGATCTCTTTAGCCGCTTGGGTGCCGAATCGGTGCTACTGATTGTAACACATTTTTAGCATTTCATTCGACGCTTTCTCACTCCGCTTTGGCTTTGTCGATCCGTTTGTCAGTTGAGCGGCTTTGGGGATTTTTACGGCCCGATTATGCGAGTTCGCATATCGCATATAAGCGATATATATAGTATATATAAACGTATTTATTAATTATTCAAAGCCGATTGGATTATAATAATTTATAATGATTATTATCATAAGTCGGCGGACTTGGCCTCAGAGATTGAGACTCGGTTCGAGATCCAGATTTCGTTTGTTGTTCGTTCTGCGAGCTTCGTTTTCGCTTCGTTTCAATCAAACTAAGAGCGGTGACAGTACTAGATAGTATTGTACTTGGCGGTAAGTGGCCAGGTATATCAAACACCGAAAACGCTTTAAGTTAATTACACGTTGTCAGCTTGTCGCTGAGACTTCCATTTCTATTTCGATTCCCTCATTTCTTCATTTTCATTATTATTTTGGCACTTGCGGAGCGGCCTTAAATCAATTCCCCACTATTTTGTGTGTGATCGGTTTTCGTGTGTTCATGTGCTCATGTATCGGTTTCAGTTTCAGTTTCGGTTTCGGTATTTCTATTCCCCATTCGGAATCGCTTTCAAAGGCGCCGCTCAAGCGAGCTCTCACCTCCTCTGCAGCTCCTCAGATAATCAACAAAACGTGTTCGACTTGTCGAGGTTTTCCTTTCTGCACTTATCATAGAACACCATTCGGTTTTTGTTGTTCTCCTCACAGCTAATGACACCTTGATAAAACGATTTGTAAGACATTGCGATAAAAGCGGTTCAGGCTTTGTAGCTTAAGGCAAACCGAAAGCTGATAAAAATACAAGCCGAAAAATACAATAGCAACAAAAAATGGAAAAGTTCGAATGATAATGACAACTTTGGGTAATTAATTTGTTGGGCCGGCAAAGGGGGTGGCGCAGTCCAGATTGTGGATACCCGATGTCTTTGGGTATTTGTTTGGGCATTTGTCATTCAGCTTAATCGGAATGCACGGACTGTGACAAAGCACGAGAAAAGAATCGAATTTTATACAATTTACGCATTTCGAAAGTCATCTCCAAATGTTTCCTCCCCCATTGTCACCTTTTTCATTCTTAATTAGTGGATTTAGCTTGTTCCCCGTAGATATACGAGGCTGAGTTCTCCATTTTTTTTAGCCCCTCCGCAACTATTTTTATTTGGGCCAGCCAAATCCGTATTCCTCCGGCTCGGTGGACATAAATTTCCGAATGTTTTGAGAATTATGACAAGTGGGTTGGGAGACAAGTGGAAATGAAATGAATATCTGGGGAGATTCATATATATCGTTTGTGTATATATAGGCGGTTCTGTTTCTGTGATTATAAACTTTGGTTCTGATCACGATGACATTGTGGGGCTTACATGAAGGTATTTTCGGCGTGGAAGATTTATTATTTATCACTAATACGCCCCGTTGAAAATCATAAGCCGCACCAGCAGCCGGTGATTTCTACAAGTCACAGCGACAATCGGCTTGCGAGCATATGTCTTCAAGTCCAGCGTCAAAGAGTCGGTAACCTCGTCTTATTTAAAGTATTAACTGCTAACTAATGTGCGACACATTATAAAGAGCGCTGCGGACCGGCAACTATCGATACGAATACCGAACAGGTGATCGCCGGCACGGTGAGTAAAATAAGCGGCGATCATGCCTGGCATCGACAAAAGGGATTATATTTCCTAAGCGGTCCCAACAAAATGTGCCCAAAGCTGCTCCAGACGTCTGCTGGGGTATTCAATGCCCCGACGATCGCTGAGCTGCTTAACTAAATCCGGCTTAAGATCCAACACACAAAATTAATGTCGTTGAAAAACACAGCAAAAGTCACACATTAACAGCGACGACGACGACGACGATGTGGTGTCCCAGGAAGTGGCGATCTCTCTCGATTCTTCTGACTTGGCTAATGGGCATTGGGTGACTCCATGGGCAGTGGCTAATGGCGAGAGGAAATGCTCGGTGTGTGTGGACATCTTACAGGGGATTAGTTTCGAATTTGCAGCGCAAAGCGGAATGCGGGAAAATAAGCTCTATGCGCGGTACTCACTTGCTCCCTATCCGTCGATCGATGGAAATTACCAACGATTTATTGGCGATCGCCGATCGTCTGGCTACCGTGATCAACTAATCCACTTATCAGGCGGCATCTTCTGCCCCTTCCCCTACTTCCTTCCTTTTATTTCTCTCTCTAAAATCGAACCATACACGCTTTTAATCGGCGTCATAAAGTCGGCAAGACGATAAATCGATCAATTAGGCCATTTAATCTATACAATGGGTCACCAGCCGCCTTTTATCCAAATCTAATCAATTTCACCAATATCACTGCCTCTTGGGCAATACTTGTGGCTAATATCTAAATGTGTAAATTAGTGTGTTTGCCTTTTATTTTATCGGTGGCCTTTGGAAACCCAAAAGCTAAAGCCTGACCACTACTAGGTGCATGTATCGAATGCCCCGACTTTTGTCGCCGGGTTAATCTAATCTAATAATTCTCTGG